TCCTTAAAGTTATTGGCTTTAGTGCCTCACCTCTTATTTGATATTTTTTTAGAATCCTTAATGAGCCAGTTATATAAACATAGCCACTATGTTAAAACTGCGTCTTAAGGACTAGTTTGACCAAATAACAGCAGACAAGGGGGGTAATCAGTCATACTTTCCATGCAACTCAAATGAGACCAATCTACCTTTCTGTAACTGAATTAAAAAAGTTACAACTAGTCTTGAAGAAAAAAAAAAAATAAATGTCTAACTTTTTAAGACTAGTCTAAGCAGTTTATATCTATTGTATTATTACAAAATCTAGAGCAAATCAAACGTGATATGTTGAAAATTTGGTTGGTTTTAAATTATCTGTTGATTTACTTTTGTTGAATATTTCTTACAACTAACTATGAATTCACAGTCATGTTGATAATTAAAAAAAAAATCTTTGTATTCTTAAATCAAATTGTATGACTTTCCTTTTCCATTGACATCAGTTAGGACTTGACAAATAGCCAACTAGATATTGAAGTAAACATTTTTGTCATTGCAAAGCTTCAAATAATTGCTTATATGTTTACTCTTTTTTCTCGTTAATATATAAAAAGTTACATAGAAATAAAACTGAACCTTCGCTGTCCAGGCCACTTTTAAGAGATCATATGTTTGTAATAAATTCTACTTTATTAAAAACTTAGTACATTCCAGTAAGATCACATCTGACCTGACCTCTGCTCTGGTCATAAGAGAAGTCTTATGTGCTCTTTGACCCAGACAGCCTCATTTCTCATTCAGACTTAGTTTCCTGGCTAATCACCCTATAGCATGCACTGCCCTTGTGAAAACAGACAAGATGTGTTATTAATGTCATTGTTTAATACAAAATGCAGGATTAGTCAGTCATTTTTTTTTTAGCTGTATATATCTGTAGTATACTTTACATAAAATGTGCATATATATATATAGACACACACACACACACACACACACACACACACACACACACACACACACACACAATTTATGTCAATACCATATACCTTTTGGGTATTCGGTAATTGAAATTATGTAATTTTTGGGAGTATCCATTGTGCTTTCACTGTTTGTCCTCAGAATGTGATAAACTATGAAGGGAAACAGATGTTTCTTGAATGTAGTGCCTCTGAGTCTGGTGGATCTTAACTTTTAAGCAATGCTGCCTTGAATCCATAGGAAATGTGAACATGTGTCATTATTTGCTAAAAATATCGTTTGACACATGGCCCACTGTATTATCCATCTAAAGATATCCATTAAACCGGATTTTCCTTTACTAAGGTCTCCTAACATGGGAGACATTCAAAGCAATATAAATTAGGGGTGCTCCGATTGATCGGCTACCGATCACTATTGGCCGATAATCACGCTGGGATGTTTGATCCATTAAAAAGGCCGATCCCAAAAAAACGATCTCAAGCTGATGACGCTGCCGTGAGAGGTTTGGCACGACATGCAGCGTCACCGTCTCAGTCTCTGTCCGGCGCGGGTGAAATAATTATAATGCTGAAGGTGAGTACCTCACCTTCATATTTCTTCATTAAATAACTTATAAAGTAATTTGAAAACCTTGTGTGAGACGTAATTTCACAAACAGCGTGAGTGAATCACCGCGCGCGCTCTCTCTTTCTCTCTCAAAATACGCAAATGGCTTCAAATCACCACACATCGTGTCTGTCTATAAGCGAGCTGCACGCTGCACAGTTGACACAGGAATTGTCACTTGCACAATCGAGGGCAGTGTCACATCGTCACTAAAGTTTATAAATTGCATTACTTTTAAATAAAAAAACCGTGCGCACATGCACACTCGCAGCGCACATGCACACTCGCAGCGCACACACATAACGCCAGGATCACATTACTCCGTTTGCAGTGCATACGTGGTGCATATATTTTCCGCGCTCATGTTAACGAATTAAAGTGTTCACACTGCACTCGGCAGTGCGTTCCAGTAGCGGCACGTCTGCATCAGTGCAGAGATCGTTTCAGCACCGAGTCTATTGCTGCGCTGCAAGCGAAGAATTAAAGTAACAGAGCATTGTTTTCAGTAAATATGAACATGGATTGACACGAAAATGTAGTAATTACACCATAAATGCATATTATTAAAGTCTACTGTGTTTCACAGTCAACACATATGGCTTTTTGGCTAGGTTTATAGGGAAAG